GTTTACGACACAGTATTTTGAGTTTTGTTCTAAAGATTTGGACACCACAGTTTGTAACGAACCTTCAGTTACAAAATCATTTCCAAGGTAAATTTAAAGATAAATGTATCTGATATCCAACAAACTCTTCGATGCATGATACTGACATAATGATAACCTAACCTTTCAATAACGAATGCATTGTATACTTAGGGGTTGGAATTAGTTATTTATGTAGAAGTCATGCACTTGTTTTATAAGTTTACTGCACAAGGTGATCGTCCTGGTGATGGAGGCATTAGGCACGTCAAACTTTGGGAAAAAATTCTATGAGACTATACAGCACAATATCTCGGAAGGCTGTCATTGTCAAAACACTATAGAGCTTGTATTGAATAGAGAATATAAAACTTCTTCTTTTCTATTCCAGTTCTAATAGTCTGGTGGAAGACTGCAGTCGTATCAAAGCATATGCCACTGGTGTAATTGTTCCGATTTGTATCTTATATCTATTCATATTGTAACTGGAATTGACTCTCTTATGGTGGCTTACTGCAGGTAGAAGAACACAGAAATATAAATTCACAATCTGTGTTTTGTTCTAGGTATATCTTGTATGATGTAAACCCTCCAGAAGGTTTCAACCTTCGTCGTGATGTATATATGAGGATGGCCATATTCGTCAGAAAACTGAAGAAGTTTGGGGACTGGCACCTGGTAAGATTAGGGCAGTGAAGTTCAACCCTACACAGTAATTAGTGCAGAGTTTTAAAGTCGTGCATCTTTTGTTTTCCTCTGTTTGATTTCTTTTTGTTTCAATTGTGGACTTTTAAGAGCAACATATCAGAATCTGTTTTCTTTACCTTTGTTGTGTGCATGTGACAGTGTCACTGGTGAATGGTTTCTGATCAAAATTTAGTGTCCTAACTCCTTAGCAAAATTAACCAATAAAGTGTAATATCGGTCAAAATTCAAAACTCTACAATACTTGCTGCTAAACATGAACATGTAAATAATATTTTAGGTAATGAATTTTTACTAATTTTCTCCCAATAACCAGTTTGGTAGAGCTTGGTTTACATGCACTGACAGGTGCTGCCACCATGGGGGCAGCTGTACCATTGGCAGTCAACAGATGTAGGACGACAGGATATGTTGCCGTGGAGTCTGTTCTTTGACATACCGAGCTTAGAGCTGTTTGCGCCGGTCTTAGAGACACATGAGTTCTTACGAGGTATGGACACAGTGTACAGTTTAGGTTTGTAAACTTTGCTCGCCTTAAAGCTGAAAGCACTGTTTTCCAAACTCCTTGTCCATAGGAGTGTTTTTATTTTCTTCAAATCTTTATCCAGTAAATTAATGCAGTGAGAGAAATGTGGTTTATTTTCATGTCATCGTTCTTACAGTCCTTGAACTGTATCCCTGAACTGCATGAATCATAGACTTAGAAGATGATTGAACATTCTTTATAATTACTGATTTCTCTCAATTTTTGTGGATGCAAATATGCATATTTGTTATGACTAGAAGTAAGCCTATTTGTCTTATGTTTGGCAGAGTTTGGCAATCTGACTCTGGACGTGGTTTATGTCCTGCAGCATTATAAGGACATGTGGGAGACCAACCAGTGGGTTGAGAAGTTTGGGGTGGAGCCATGCTATGAGAAGCACCCCTACAGGTTGTTATAACAACTTTGCCTGATGAAATCACTGAGAAGATATGTTTTCAAAAATTGGGATTTAGGTTTTTGATCTGTCGCTTTTGTAGTAACTACATTCAGTGAAGTCTTCATGGCCACGTCAGTTGGCAATAAAAATGATTTTTGATTTTACATTTTATAATAAAATATATTAATTACTGTATTTGCATACAGAACTGAAAGGGGGTGGGATTATGTTGTATATTTTAAATTTTCATTAACTATACTTAGTTTTTAGCGTCTTTACCTTATTTAATAGTAACGTCCCTCAAACTCTATATTTACTTTTTAATTTGATGGTTTTAAGTAATATAGACATTGCCACAGATTTAATATGTGTAATATTTTATTTGTTGCCTTGTTGTGTTGTTCTGCTGTGGTCTTGCAGTGTTTTAGAGAATGGGAAGTACAGAGGCTGGTTTTGGGGATACCTCAACATCACAGCTGCTGAGGTGCACTGCCTCTCATTCCATGGACGTGCCTCACACTTGCAAGGGCTTTTGCAGAACCTCACAGCTCGGTAGGAGTTCTCAGGTTGTCTGGTTTCAGCTCACAGAATAAATACTATGCTTATGTCAGGTGAAGAATATGACGAGCAGATGTTGAAAGAAACACGAAAAGGAATGCTGTCAATCATGTGTCAATATATGACAGTGGGGTCATTTTTAGTATGTTAAAACATCCTGGCTACAGAAAATTCTGATGATGCTATGACTGGGAAAGTTAAACTGTAGGTTATCAGAAGCTTATGTTGGTCTACAAGAGCATAACTCGGTTGACATGCACATCATGTTTTGCACATTTGGCTGTTCTCGTACAGTTCTGTGCGTATATGGCGACGTTGCCACTACAATTTTTCCAACCCTCATAAATTTGAGGTTGTCATTAAAGTAAGAGAGACATACTACTCATTTACAACCCTTAACATTGCAGGGCTGTGATGTTTGATCACGCAGAAGTGGCTCTGCATGATACGTTTGGAGACGCGCTCTACTGGAAAGCTCGTCGGAGCATGCGCTTTGCATCTGACCTCATGAAGCTGGCTGCAAGTTTCAGGATGGAGTACCTCAACTCCACTGATGAGACAGATGGTACCATCAGGCCAGATGACTGGAGAGAAGAGAAGGTGAGTACGGTTTAATGAGAATTTGTGTACGAGGGTTTGTGTTGGCCATGTCCTCCCAGTAATGTTCTGAGTAGCTCACAATTATTAGAATATAACATGATGAGGAGCAGCGTGAATTGTACAATTCACCTAACATAGTAAAGATGGTGAAATCTAGGAGGATTAGATGGGCTGGACATGTAGCACGCATTGGGGGAGGCAAGGGGTGTATACAGAATTTTGATGGATAATCCTCTGGAAAATGACCACTGAGCAGACTAAGATGGAAATGGGAGGATAATATCAAGATGAATCTTAAGGTGGGGGGGCTGTGAGAATGGAAAATGGATTGAGTTGGTTCAAGTTCATGTCTGGTAGCGGGCTTCAGTGTTGGACCTATGAGTTCTGCTACCAGGGAGTTAGTTAGTTAGTTAGCTTGCAAATGTTCATGAAGCTTTGTAGGTAGGTAATGCTGTTGAAATTATCCTACACATCTGCTCATAGAGGTGTGAGGGCTTCTCAATGTTATTGTGAGATTCTTATTTATCATTCTGTCAGTAATGCTGGTGATATAGCACCATGTGGGAGGATACAGAAAGATGTGATTGCAGCCTGAAGATAGAGGCAGTTTGTTCTTCTGAGAAGTCCATAGTGCATCACAACATTTTTATGTGGGTGGTACGAAGATCAAACCATAATTCAGTATTCAATTTGTAATATCGATACATCATGCATGACGAGTGTTTTGGACAAACTAAGTCACAACTTCCAGGCCCATTCAGACGTATCAGGTGGCCCATACATGTGCGTTCACCTCCGCCGCAAAGACTTCCTATGGGGCAGACCCAAGCAGGTGCCAAGTATCGCAGGGGCAGCACGGCAGATAAGAGTTCATCTTGAGCAGCTGGATTTAACAGCTGTGTTTGTAGCGACAGATGCACCGTCAAAAGGTAATTTGATTATTGCAGTCTTTTCTGGAAATAGTTGAGTCCTGTTATAGACTGTTGAAAGCCTATGTTCTGAATATGCAAACGGGACCTTTGTGGTCTCTCTTAATACATTTGAATCTAAAATATTTTTTATTAATTTCTTACCACTCTCTGTCATTCCTACTACTCTTAATGTTGGATGTTGGTACCCAGCATAAATACAAGTAAAAGTGTGGAGGTAATGGAAGAAGAGGTGTTTTCAGGAATGTATGTTGATACGAGCCTTCTGAGTTGTAGCCCTGTCGCCTTGATGATGGAGACAGCAAGGACCTCTGAAACACTGGTAAACTTTTACCAAACTATATGGTGCTACAAATGTATGAAATGTCTGTTTGTCAGGAATCAATTGTAATTATTTCAGAGTTCGAGGAACTAAAGCAACATTTACAGGAGTACCAAGTGCTGCGATACGAACCATCACAAATTGTCAAGCAGTCCTACAAGGATGGAGGTGTGGCTATCATTGAGCAGATCATCTGTTCTCATGCAAGGTATTACGTATTTGATGTTTTATGTCAAAGAATTTGTTTTGCACATGATGTTCGACCATGTTCTATATTCCTCAGATTCTTCACTGGAACTGATCAGTCAACATTCTCGTTCAGAATCCAAGAAGAGCGAGAGATAATGGGATTTCCATCAGACCACACGTTCAACAGGCTGTGTGGAGATGATGAGCGGGAATGCGGTCGACCATCCACATGGAAAATTGTATTCTAATGGAACTATGCCATTCTGCATTGGCCTCCAACTTTTAATTATGTAGGTGGTTGAAATTCGACCCAGAGTTTTGATAAGGGTGTCAGTAAATTATTTTATCCGCTTCATATTAGGCAGCCTTTTGAAGGTTCTGTCTTCCTACATATGTGTACGCTTTGTCATCCCACAAAATGAGTGCGCAGGAATGACACTGGTCCATTTATTGTTTATAAGATAGTGTGAATATTCAAGGTCTAATCCGAACCACAAAACATGTGAAAGAAACGTACACGTCAGAGAACAGCGTGTTTATTGCAGATCGTATTCAATATAATATACATACGCATTCATGACTTTCGCCTTATATGCTGCATGCCCTCATATACGTGATGGCACACAGGCATTTGTTCTACATATACCTGTACCCAATTTCAGGTCTCCAGAAATGCTAACGCGGAGTGGAAACTATAAAAATATTTGTCTGAAGCACATTGCAAGATTATGGCTGAGTAGATTTTATAAGTACCCTGTGCATTCAAACTGCATTTCTGAAGCCCTTCCTATCTTCATGTTTCAGCTCCAAGAATTATACATACATCTTTGAGTCCCATATTATTAATTTTATATATATTGCTGTTTATATTGACATCGAGTGAGAAAACAAAGGCACAAGGGCTGGCACGCCTTTGTTGAAGTTAAGAGCTCTTTCCTTTCTCGCCACATGATGATGAGGGCTTGGCGATGAGGTCAGTCTCTCGCTGCAGTTGTAATTCCCTCTGCTGTTGACGATGTAGAGCTGCCTTCTGTTTTGTCTGCTGAAGTTTCAGTGCCCTCGTCTGCACGACACAAGGGTCATTTATCACTTGTGTATTATACAAGAAGTGATAGTGAAAGGAAATGTCACCACTGTGCCTAAGCTTTACGCCATGAAGGTGTGTAGCTAGAGTAGAGTAAAGCGCCATGAATTCATAACCTCAAAAGGGTTACATTTAGATCATTTCTATACACAGGCAAGTGGTATGTGCCTATATTCGGTTGAACAGTCATCATATTGATAAGAATTTGACAGATCAGTCAGTAATAACTTGAAATTTAGTTCACATTATATTCAATGAGCAATGCATTGGTAGACCAAATGCTATCACTGCTGGATTCAGCCAAATAAAACATAATCCTATTTTTATTAAGTGAATTAATTCAGGCAAAAGCCCCGCTGCATTAATGTACTTACTTTAAGCTTTGTGGCTCTGTCATACAGCTGCATCATCTCTTTCTTAATAGTGACGAGCTTCGTCTGGTACAGTTTCACTGTTGTAAACTGGAACCACATACAGCAATGAGTGTGTGCTAATTTCTAGACCCCAGACTTATTGAAAGCTACATGACAATGTGCCTTACCTTGACCCAGTTTAAGTCAATCATTGATATGATGGCTCATGGGACATAAATACTGCACCTTCTTTTAGACAGTTTGTTGCAGTGACAAACAGAAGTGGTTTTGTCTGTGTGTATAAATATGTTGCAACTGATGCCAGTTTGTTATATTTGTGAGGTGGAAAATCAAGCAGTAGGATTTGAATCAGATTGCTCGTTACTGTGATGCGAACATATCAAAACACTTATAATAAGTACCATTTGCTGAAGTTCTTCTGATGTCTGCACATTGTTAAACCTGCGATTCTCATCCTGCAATTTGTCTATCAGGCTTGTCTGCTTCTTGCTGGAACATAAAGTGAACGTGTATTTGCTACCAGCATACTTATGTCAATGTCACATCCCCATGAGTAGGCCTACTAACGTTAGTTCATCAAGTTGTTGTTTTACTTTCTTGAGTTCAGGTTGGTAGAGAGCTAAGAGTCCCACTGCTAGCTTGCTGACATCATCAACGCTGAAATTAAGACATCACAAATCAGCACTGGAGAGATTACTGTTCGTAATGAATGCATACCAAATCACATGCAGATGACAATACTGCACTTATGAGATAAAACACAACTTTTAGCATTTTTATGCCTAGTACAATTGTTTTTCACGTGAATGCATGTATCCTTGTTCTTTTTATAGTACGACCATAACCATTCTGATTCCTACCCATCGCTGCTCGATTCCTGAGGTACAAATGCACAAGCTTGTGTGGGGTTGTCTGTCATTTTTTGTTTATGATCGACTAATACCGTACGAAATACATAACATCGTATTTCACCGTATCACAATGAACTGAAATGTTTATTGTGCCCCGGAAACAGGCATTAGCAAATTATAATCCCATCTATCATGATTTACACTTGTATTGGCACCATGTTATCGGAAATTGCTTCAACAGCTGTTTTGTGTAAGAAGAAAGATGTTTTGTAATTATTGGCACCATGTTATCGGAAATTGCTACAACAGCTGTTTTGTCTAAGAAGAAAGATGTTTTGTAAGCCAGAACATGATTTCCATTCTCATAGTACTACGAATCACATATTGCACGTTTGTAGTTAAATGTCTTTTCATATGTATTCTTTGAGTTGAGGTACTTCCGGTTTGTTTTTTCTGAATCGATTGTTATCGTTTTAATGGACCAATCATATCTGTCCAAGTAGTGTTGGCATTTAGCACGTCTTGTGTCAGGAAAAATGATGGCTGCGGAGGTGAGGTGGCCGTGTTTTGCGGCTATAATTTTCATCGTGACGTTTGAAGTATTTGGTAATATACCATTAAGAAGATTTGAGTACAAGTACAGTTTCAAGCCACCTTACTTGGCGCAAAAGGATGGAAGTGTACCATTCTGGGAATACGGAGGAAGTAAGTTTGACATTGTAACATGGTTTCACATTGCAATTTTTCCAGATGGTAGATTCTGTATCGTAATTCGTAACACAAAATTGTGTGCGTTCTCGTATTAATATATTTTTCATGACTTATAATAAGAATTGTAATTGTTCTTTGGAAGTATTCCCATTTAAGCTTTTATTAAATAGGCCGATGTGTTTCTTTAACAGATGCCATTGCTAGTGCAGAGAATGTAAGAATCGCCCCATCCCTAAGAAGTCAGAAAGGTAAGTAAACCTAGAGTTTATTTTGTACACTGTCTCTCATTTTGAGCCATTTAGCATTGATATGAACTGTTATAATTATTATTTTCTTTCATATCAGGTGCAATATGGACAAAAATGAAAACAAATTTTGATTGGTGGGAAGTGGATATTATATTCCGTGTCACTGGCAGAGGAAGAATTGGGGCAGATGGATTGGTATGTATAATTAATATATAGGATTAGCTTAGGTTACTTTATGTCTGTGACACCATCTTGTTTACCCCCCACATTTGTGGAATAAAATAGCTGTTATTTGTGCATGTTATCTCCTGCCAATATTAGAGTATGCACTAAAGACTTCTAAAACTATAGGATTACCCCCTGTTGCTTAAATAACACTAATTTGATGGAGTGTGACCAAGTTGCTCCTTGTTTCAGGCATTCTGGTACACAGACTCTAAAGGAGCATATGATGGACAAGTCTTTGGCAGCTCAGACAAATGGGTCGGTCTGGGCGTCTTCTTTGATTCATTTGACAATGATAACAAACACAACAACCCATATATTATGGCTATTATCAATGACGGAACACAGGAGTTTGACCACCAGAAGTACGTGTGCACAATTTTTTTAGAGTAGTAGAATTTTTAATTTTACTGGGTTTATGGTCTTCTCAGATGCTGTCATTATTTGTGACTGGCAAAATTCTGTTTCCTGAGACATTTCTGCTAAGAATATGGTTATGAAATTAAGAGATTTCAATATAAATACCTCAAATATATTGTGAAACTTACATTTAAGAATATTATACGTTTTACCCAAACAAGTGGACCGCAGCTGTAAAATTAGTTTGTGCTGCACAAATGGGTGTCCCATTTACAGTCTCAGCCACTGGTTCCAGGGTCATTCCTGAGGGCATGAGCACGTCATGTGCACAGTCATGTAGCAAGTAATGTATGCATTGGGGTTTATAGATTGCTTGTGTGCAGCACGTTCTGTTTTAGTAGTTCCCATACATTCACTGCACATTATCACTGTGAGATCAATATTTCCACTGGCCTGATAAGAGAACTCTGACGCATTTGTTGTTGAACAGTGATGGTAGCACACAGCAGATGGCAGGCTGCATGAGGGACTTCCGAAACAAGCCATTCCCAGCTAGAGTGAAGATTGAGTACTACCAGAACACTCTTACGGTATGTTCGCTGTTCTCCATTGTGTCTAAATTTATTAGTGCTGGGTTAAAAACTGCGTAGATATGGTAAATCACCAGTGGCGTGCTGTTAATATTGAGTTTCATACTCATTTTTTTTTTCTTTTTTGCATGTTATCTGCCAGAAGAATTAATGTAGTGGGTTTGTTTTGTAACTGGTTTCTCCCACCCCCAATACTGTGACTCTCATATATTGCGTTTTAAATATATTTTCATTACATTTTGAGTTTGCTTGCAGGTCTTATTCCTGAATGGGATGACAAACAATGAACAAGACTTTGAGATGTGTATGCGAGCAGAGAATGTGATTCTCCCCAAGTATGGCCATTTTGGACTGTCGGCAGCAACGGGAGGCTTAGCGGGTATGTTGGGCTTCTGTCTGAACACGGACAAAGAACAGTTGTGCCAGCCGAAGTCGTTCATATGCAAAACTTTCTTTCATTTAAGAAACATTTACTTGTTATTCTTGGCCCATCTGTTTTCAGACCTGCAATTGGAAATTTCTGATGGGCGTGTCCGTGTTCGTATGCATTAGAAACATACTCTTATGTAGCCCACTTATATTTAAATGTAAATGTACACTAATGAAAGGGATAATTTCTGGAGCATAAGACGTGTTACATGATTTATGTTCTGCGCAGACGACCACGATGTGTTGCATTTCTTGACGACCAGTCTGCATCTGCCTGGGCTAGCCGCAGTACCTGCCGGAGGTCTTCACGTCTCGGAGGAGGACCAGCGCAAACTCTCCCAGGAATATGCTGATTACCAGCGCAAGCTAGACCAGCAGAAGGAAGAGTAAGTATGACGCTGACTGCGGTCATTGACGCTTGTCGCTGGGTGAGCATTTACCTCTGTTTTTTCGTGCAGTGGTGCTTGGACACTGGGACAACTTTCTTTGTGGTAATCAACAAGTTAGGAACTGTACTCATGGCTCATTAATGGTTTTGTGGTGTTTTCATCAGAATTCGACATCTAGCTTTGTGAACGGTGTCATTGACAAGAGAAGATAATTATGATAGGCGAATAGGGAGGGATTTGGAAGGAGGTGGTTGTGGCCTGTTTGAAGGTACTGTTCTGCGATTCATCTGGAACAACTGAAGACATCACAAAAACAGGATAGTCAATAGATTCGCAGAGTCTTACCACTACACCAACCTTTTCAGGTACTTCGCCCGTGTGGCCAGTGTTGAGATCTGTTTTCCGCTGGACAAGTTACGTGGTGTAAGGGAATGTTTGCTCACAGTTTAGAAATGTCATTGAATTATATTGTGTGCCGATTACAAAGTTCTTGTTGTTATATGATGATTTATTTTTTTGCCCTTTTGCTGCAGGTACCACAGGGAACACCCAGAAGCTGCCAGGAAGGACAAGGATAATGAGTTTGAGGAGTGGTTTGAATCTGACAACCAGCGTGAACTAAGGCAGATCTTTACTGGGCAGAGTCAGATGTTTGAGGTGCTGCGAGAACTTAATCGAAAGCTGGACGAGGTCGTCGGGCGGCAGGAGCGAACGCTCAGTCTGTTGTCATCTGTTCAAGCTAGCGGTGCCCAACCAGTCGGTACGTCACAGCGGTTTTCTCGCGTTCAAAATGTAATGATCATAAAACCTGAAAACATAAAAATAAAGTCTTGGTGTTCTAAGTGATTTCTTCCGACACTGTACGCCTGTTACAGCTACTGGACAGGTGCCAGGTCAGCCAGTGCTAGTAGACACTATCCGACGTCACGAGGTTGATCTTGTGTTGAGCAACCAGAACACCATTGTGAACATGGCTCGAGATATAAAGTGAGTACTGTTTGGTGCAAGGCTGCCGTGCACTAAAGACTTCTAAAACTATAGGATTACCCCCTGTTGCTTAAATAACACTAATTTGATGGAGTGTGACCAAGTTGCTCCTTGTTTCAGGCATTCTGGTACACAGACTCTAAAGGAGCATATGATGGACAAGTCTTTGGCAGCTCAGACAAATGGGTCGGTCTGGGCGTCTTCTTTGATTCATTTGACAATGATAACAAACACAACAACCCATATATTATGGCTATTATCAATGACGGAACACAGGAGTTTGACCACCAGAAGTACGTGTGCACAATTTTTTTAGAGTAGTAGAATTTTTAATTTTACTGGGTTTATGGTCTTCTCAGATGCTGTCATTATTTGTGACTGGCAAAATTCTATTTCATGAGACATTTCTGCTAAGAATATGGTTATGAAATTAAGAGATTTCAATATAAATACCTCAAACTGGTTCCAGGGTCATTCCTGAGGGCATGAGCACGTCATGTGCACAGTCATGTAGCAAGTAATGTATGCATTGGGGTTTATAGATTGCTTGTGTGCAGCACGTTCTGTTTTAGTAGTTCCCATACATTCACTGCACATTATCACTGTGAGATCAATATTTCCACTGGCCTGATAAGAGAACTCTGACGCATTTGTTGTTGAACAGTGATGGTAGCACACAGCAGATGGCAGGCTGCATGAGGGACTTCCGAAACAAGCCATTCCCAGCTAGAGTGAAGATTGAGTACTACCAGAACACTCTTACGGTATGTTCGCTGTTCTCCATTGTGTCTAAATTTATTAGTGCTGGGTTAAAAACTGCGTAGATATGGTAAATCACCAGTGGCGTGCTGTTAATATTGAGTTTCATACTCATTTTTTTTTTCTTTTTTGCATGTTATCTGCCAGAAGAATTAATGTAGTGGGTTTGTTTTGTAACTGGTTTCTCCCACCCCCAATACTGTGACTCTCATATATTGCGTTTTAAATATATTTTCATTACATTTTGAGTTTGCTTGCAGGTCTTATTCCTGAATGGGATGACAAACAATGAACAAGACTTTGAGATGTGTATGCGAGCAGAGAATGTGATTCTCCCCAAGTATGGCCATTTTGGACTGTCGGCAGCAACGGGAGGCTTAGCGGGTATGTTGGGCTTCTGTCTGAACACGGACAAAGAACAGTTGTGCCAGCCGAAGTCGTTCATATGCAAAACTTTCTTTCATTTAAGAAACATTTACTTGTTATTCTTGGCCCATCTGTTTTCAGACCTGCAATTGGAAATTTCTGATGGGCGTGTCCGTGTTCGTATGCATTAGAAACATACTCTTATGTAGCCCACTTATATTTAAATGTAAATGTACACTAATGAAAGGGATAATTTCTGGAGCATAAGACGTGTTACATGATTTATGTTCTGCGCAGACGACCACGATGTGTTGCATTTCTTGACGACCAGTCTGCATCTGCCTGGGCTAGCCGCAGTACCTGCCGGAGGTCTTCACGTCTCGGAGGAGGACCAGCGCAAACTCTCCCAGGAATATGCTGATTACCAGCGCAAGCTAGACCAGCAGAAGGAAGAGTAAGTATGACGCTGACTGCGGTCATTGACGCTTGTCGCTGGGTGAGCATTTACCTCTGTTTTTTCGTGCAGTGGTGCTTGGACACTGGGACAACTTTCTTTGTGGTAATCAACAAGTTAGGAACTGTACTCATGGCTCATTAATGGTTTTGTGGTGTTTTCATCAGAATTCGACATCTAGCTTTGTGAACGGTGTCATTGACAAGAGAAGATAATTATGATAGGCGAATAGGGAGGGATTTGGAAGGAGGTGGTTGTGGCCTGTTTGAAGGTACTGTTCTGCGATTCATCTGGAACAACTGAAGACATCACAAAAACAGGATAGTCAATAGATTCGCAGAGTCTTACCACTACACCAACCTTTTCAGGTACTTCGCCCGTGTGGCCAGTGTTGAGATCTGTTTTCCGCTGGACAAGTTACGTGGTGTAAGGGAATGTTTGCTCACAGTTTAGAAATGTCATTGAATTATATTGAGTGCCGATTACAAAGTTCTTGTTGTTATATGATGATTTATTTTTTTGCCCTTTTGCTGCAGGTACCACAGGGAACACCCAGAAGCTGCCAGGAAGGACAAGGATAATGAGTTTGAGGAGTGGTTTGAATCTGACAACCAGCGTGAACTAAGGCAGATCTTTACTGGGCAGAGTCAGATGTTTGAGGTGCTGCGAGAACTTAATCGAAAGCTGGACGAGGTCGTCGGGCGGCAGGAGCGAACGCTCAGTCTGTTGTCATCTGTTCAAGCTAGCGGTGCCCAACCAGTCGGTACGTCACAGCGGTTTTCTCGCGTTCAAAATGTAATGATCATAAAACCTGAAAACATAAAAATAAAGTCTTGGTGTTCTAAGTGATTTCTTCCGACACTGTACGCCTGTTACAGCTACTGGACAGGTGCCAGGTCAGCCAGTGCTAGTAGACACTATCCGACGTCACGAGGTTGATCTTGTGTTGAGCAACCAGAACACCATTGTGAACATGGCTCGAGATATAAAGTGAGTACTGTTTGGTGCAAGGCTGCCGTTTCAAACTTGCATTACAGTCATATCCTTTATCGTTGCTGAATATTTCTTTGTAGCCCGTCATTTTTTAGTAGTGACGTTAGCGGAGGATGAGCCATGAATTTATTGTCTGTGGGATTTAATGGTGGTCTGAAGTCTCCCTGTTTTTTTTAGAGAACACTAGTTTGTGCATCATTTCTGTGTTGCAGAACTCTGACACAGGAGGTTCACTCCCGTTCAGACTCCATACTGCAGAACCAGGCTCGCCAACCCACGGCGCAGGTACAGTCCGTGGGGTACGACATGGTGAGCGTTATCAACGAAATGCGGGATGGGCTGAATGTCGTAAAGCGAGATGTCGCTGCTGCCAGCCAGCGACTCGGTGGTGGGAACGGCACCCCAGCAGGCTGTCCACAACAGACTGCTTGCTTGTCCCCAACAATCTTTTTCATTTTTGCAGCATTGCAGGTAGCAGTTATTCTGGGCTATTCTTTCTGGAGGTGAGTCACGTCAAGTGGTTTCATGGGTAAACTTCAGGTGTTATGTCATCGCATGTTCACACTTCGTGTTTGTCGCTTCTGCAGTATAATCTGACCTGCGTTGAGTCCTGGACAGGAATGGGGATCCCAGATGTCTGGTTTTAATTTTAAATTTTGGTAGGTAAGAGTAGGCTTTTGTGGTTGTTGTTAACTTACTGGTCCCATAATTAATTTTTTGACAAGCCAAATAAATATCATGTTTAATATTTACATCCATTTCCATTGCATTATATTCATTATATATTAGTTTACTATAAGCAACATATAGAACTATTCGTTAAGATTTTAATTAAGTGGTTATCGTATACGGTTTTGTAATGGAAAGGAGAAATGAGACAGTTTTTTTTTTCAGGGACAACAGAGAAGCGCAAGCAAAGAAGTTCTATTGAAGACAATAAGAATGAACATTGCGATTATTGGATGTCTGTGGCCCCATCACCGTGACACCTCGTCCGTCATGTCAGTATACAAGTAACAGGTCGCCCGTTATCTCTAATGTTGTGTTCTCTGTCCTGTTTCAATTGTCACAGCGTGTGAGTTGGACAGACACACTCGAAATGCTACTTTTATAGCCCATGATATGGTTCAAATTGAGGGGGAATGCTCACTGCTTGGACACTGCATTGGCACTGAGCATGCGGCCGATACCAGGTCTTGTTCTCGACTCTATTACAAATCCGTCTTCATTGAAGGATCAAAGTTCATGAAATTACGTGCCACCGTTTGACTGCAGAGTATTTCCAGCACTGTAGTGTCATCGGAGACCCCGGCCGATCATGTCCGTAAAATCAAACGAAACGCTCAGATCTGATAAATTGTTTATTTTCTGTTTGAAGCTAGTAAAGTTTTGTTGGCTGCCAGATGTCGAAGGGTAAGATAAGTAATTATAGGAGCGGCGAGATTGGTACAAGAAAAATTATGATAATCGGAAACATTTAGGAGGAAATGCTGTATTTTTCTGAATACAAGACAACTGAAATTTTGAAACAGTGCCCTTAAACCAGAAGTGAAGAAATGAAGAGAGAATTATAATGTAAAATATGAAATTGAACACAGAATAATAAAGAATGTGTTTGCCATGATAATATATTTTAACACTTCTATACAGCTGATAGGACCACTGTAGCGCGCTTTCACTTGTTCTACGTTACTTTATGTTTACAGTTGTCCTGAATATGAACATTCAACAACATTTTATTAGTCAATGACGATGTTGCTCTTCTGAGTTATGACGATTTGTAGGTAGATACCGACGTTGCAGAGAAACATGCCGTCCCTTTTTCAGCCCTGAGGATGTAGACCGTTTGTTTCTCCGAAATATTTGTATCTATCTGTGAGTCTGCAAGGCATCACAACCCAGAAGAATAATGCAGTCATCGTCACCGCTGTTTTGTTAGAATTCCTTCTTATGATCAGCGTAAAATAATTCTGCCATTTGGAAACGGGCTGCATAATTGTACTGCTGAATCCGAATAGATCAACTTTGTAACATTATTATTAATTAAATAATATTGACCCTAGTTGAGATATTTTCTTAGTATGCATTTAAGAAAGCGCATCATTTTTTTAAATAGCAAAAAATCAGTGTCTTGTATTTGGTTAAATACGGTTTAACGAGATTTTTAAAAGAACAAAGTAAAATATTTTGTTCAGATGGAGAGATTTCAAGTTAGGTTTTACTTAATAATATTATGATGTGGTGAAAATATGTAGTGGGTCTTAGAGACCTGTGTGTGTGTGTGTGTGCGCATGCACGCATGTGCAAACACGTGCACATGCGTGCATGATTGAAGTTCTCTCTGAGGTGGTGAGTACGAAGACGGCCGTCTTCTGGGTTGTAGCGCCTCGTAGTCTGGTAGAAGTATACCGGCGTTTCACCCTAACTGCCCTGATGATGGAGGCAGCAAGGTCCTCTGAAATGTTAGTAAACTATTGCCAGACTACATGTCAATGCGACCCAAAAGAAAGCTATCTTTATCTCTGTGTGTATGTTTGATTTCTTTTATATGTGTGCTGAATATGTGTTAACTTTAGTATTTTTCATACGCAAGGAGGTCATGCTTTCCACTTTCCGTTCGTTAGGTATCTCGTTCTGATGTCCGGGCCGAGATACACCGCATTTAAACTGTTAGTGTGATAAGCGGATCACTGCATTTGCTCGGTTTTGTTATAAATTGCTGTCTTGGATATGAAATTATGTTTTAAAAATGAAAGAAAGTTATGTATAATGTGCGATGGCAAATCAGAAATATTGACTGCTATTTTTATTTCATATGTTCTATGAAGATACACGTGTGAAAATTACGCCACAACGTTACTGAAGATGGTGTCTTTCGGTATGGTCCTTATTTTGTCGGTGAAGTCGTCTTCTCCTGTCTTTGTTGCATTAATGTCTTCTGATACGCGTCAAGCATTAAACACCGCAGCTGAATCGCCATACGCTCTCTTCAGTCGTTCGTGTATTTGAATTTGTCTGCCAGCTTTGGCAACCAAGAATTCAATTACTGTTCTTCATTCAAACTGCGTCTGATGTTTTCTTATTTTGAAAATTTTGGTGCTGTTGAATCGTGCCGTAACGACACGGAACCGATTTGACGTGTTTTAAGTTCTAAACCATTGTAAGTAGCACATATGGCAGGAACCTAAGAAGAAGCGACTTAGAGGATGTTACTTTATGCGGACCCTTAAATATGCGGGGATTAGATGTCGCATCGATACCCAAATTCAGCCGGTATTGGCCGAGACCCGCTCGACTGGAAGTTTTTTTTCCTTGTTAACAGTGAAACGGTTAAAATTTGAAAACCTCGAACATTAATCATGAACATTTGGTAAATTCAAAACGGATCAGCGGTAGAAACTCTAATTGTCTTTTCCTCATTACCAAGGTGAAATCAGGTGATCGGATCAGTCCGTCGGTCGTGTCGCGATTGGTCTCGCAATTCAGGGCAGGCGTTTGCATTTAGTTGGCAATGTGTTGTTTGTGTGTGCAGCTGCGTATTACACCAGACGGCGCTGCCTTCTCGTGCTTCCAGAGTGGGAAATGACTATTCCAAATATGTTGGGTAAATGGACGCAGAATTTTTGTTTTTTTATCATTCCTGTGGGGTTAAAGTGCCAATGTTCTCTTAAGGCAGTGAGTGGTGGCGTAGCAGGACGTGGCAAGTTGTTGGGCTCGAACACGGCGCTCGCAGAACGAGCGTTCGTCACGCAGCATAAAGAGAGTCGAGGTGTTTTGGTTGTGTTGGTATAAGTGATGACAAATACCGTATGGAAGTGTTTTTTGAGGTGTGAAATACTTTGTGTACGTGTAGTGGTTGAAAGTGAACATTTGTTGTTATAGGGTGGATTTTTTTGGGTAAAAAAAGTTGTGTAAATCCTTTTGTGTTTTTAATTTGTTAGAGGGTTTAGAATTATGCCCTGTGCCTCCTCCTTACCACACTTTTACAGATGGCCGACTGTGGGGCTGTATCGTGTAGATTTCTACTGAATGTCCGCATGAAATTTCCTTCTTTTTTAGAGCCTCCTTCACAGCTCCTTGTTTTATATTTGGTGTTAACGGTTTCATAATTAAGATGTTGTACTCTACATCAATAAGAACACGCTAATCAGCTGACTCTAGACTGATGACGTCCACCATTTGATTCAGCATACAATGAAAGTCATTTATTAAGAGCGCTGATGTTAACGAGGGGTCCGCAGTGGCCGCGTGGGCCTTGTGCCGCTTGGTCGCTGGGACCATGGGTTCGAATCCCACTCAAGACATGGATGTTTGAGTTGTGCTGTGTGCGACGGGCCGATCCCTCGTCCAAGGAGTCCTACCGAAACATCTATAGATCGAGCCAATGAAAATTTGGGACCTGCAGTGCTCGGACACTTGAAGAACGGGTCGTCTAAGTATCCCAGATGTTAACGAGAAGTCTGCAGAGACAGGTCTATACTTTTAACATTGCCATACACGCGGATCTGTCACTCTAAGTGAAGAACGTGGATCTGCGATATTTGTGGATGTTGGACAGGGAAGTAACCTGCAAAAAGTTAACCCTCGAGCCTATTACGTACCATACCATGATGATGTATGGGGTAACAGAGGAAAAGACCCACTCATTCTTGACCTCAGCAGTAGATGGACGTGAGTGGCTAGCTTCATGCTCAGTCCACTTTACCACTTGGGTAAGAGCCCCCGGTACCCACTGGATAGCAGATTCGTTGGGCCCCGCAGCCGGTAGGTAAAATCTCTTGCCCCTACTGGGAATCAAACCCCATTATCCAGCCCTTAATTTGCTTGCATTGACTGGGATACATGTTCACTGAAATAACACAAGGACAGAAAATTATGTAATAATTTTTTAATTAATGGGGGAAGTTGCGATCAGTGGGGCATGTAAAAATTATCTCGAGGGAAGAGACCAGTAGGGAGACCTAGATATCGATGGGAGTAAAAATTAAAATGTTTCTTAGAGAAGTAGGGGTGTGATAGTGTTTTTTTCTTAACATTGTAACGAATTTATTTATAATCGGAGTGACTCAGCTTTTGAAGAAACTCCATACAGCGAGTATGGGCTATAAGTAACATTACTAATTGTCTTAAGTAGGTTTCTTATCACACAAGGCTGTGGTAAGAGGAGGGACCCACAAGATATGGATAGCAGTACCAAATGTACTGAATAAGAAGTCATGGACGGACGACAAGGGGTGACCCTGTAGCTTTTAGGTTGATGGGGGCTGACAACGAACTGGGCTTCAGCTGATTGTAAGTTTCTGAAAAAGGACTTTGCTGTATGGAATTACCTAGTTGTTTAATCTTAATGGTTTGATAATAGAGAGTTTAAACTAATAGCCAGACAAACTTATGATACGATCATGATGTTCGTAATGCATCTTATGTTACTTTCGCTAGAAATCTAACCAAAGTTTGTCGCATCAGTACCAAATAATTTGTTTGCGAATGAAAATCATAATTCGTAGAAGATATTTCTTTAGATTTTTTTTATTTATTTAGTGTTCTGTCTGACGACAGGTCCATATGAACAGGATCCTTCCATCCTTTTCTCGGACTGGGACCTGTTCATATACGTTCTTGGCAGATGATCCAGAAGTGGTTTGCCATTCCCTTCTTCTGTGTGTGAATGGAGTAATTGTTGGGATGCCACGGAGAAACCGGGGAAGAAGCCCCCGGAGGAAAACTCCGGGTTGCCTAGACCACGGCCTTGCCCTACCGCCGGGAATCGAACCCGAGACCCCAGGATTGCGAGAACATTATTCCCGTTCCCATTGTTGTGGAAGTGTTAAAGTTTGTGTGGGACATTGTTAGGTCTGTGGTTTCATTCTGATGTTTTATAGTTTACAGTCAACTTAATTTCCGGGTTAATCCATATTCCGCAACAATGCTGAGATTATCCTAGGTTAAAATGTAGGTTTCGATACATAACCTTGGTTTTTTTTAGTACACAGAGCAGGACTATCGCTCTAAAGCGTTCGCTTATGAGAGAAAAATACATTTATAACTTGGGTTCTCCTTTCATATACCCACATTTTGTCTCAAGTGTAATTATTGAGCTGCTTGTTTCCAGAGGTTTCGACTTATCTGTCCGTCCGTATGTTTCATGTCTGAGTCTACTGAATAGATTTCAGCTGGAATTTTACGCTGAGGATGGGAGGGGGAACATTAAAAATCTGAGGTAGTTACAGTTTGAGGGGAACACTGCCCCCTGGAGAACAATTCACTTACGTCAGAGCCCAAAATCTCATTTGTCTCACTGTCGCTCGGTCCTTGAACATCGTCTTGGCGCGTGTTTGAGACTGCAGGGCCTTCCAGTGACCTCGGCTTTGCGCATTGCCGGTTGGTCCACATCACAGTAGCCCTTGGGCTAAGTAATTTGGGGCACAGACTAAGCCACTGGTCCGAGTTAGTCCCACGCAAGCGTAGACGTAGCTTTAACTTGCATTGAAAGTTTCCACTTTGAATCTGAACGAGTAATGCGCACTTCATTTTATGTTGTTTTTCACAGAAGTAATTTCTTATAAGACACGAGACGCCGGTCGCTTCCTGCCCCTGTGATATAGCGTGTCCCGCAATCAAGACGGTCCTACTACAATGCATGTATTTTGGGTACGTCGTAAACCTTCTACCGTTATTGTATCAACGAAGGAGTTAGATCTGCAACCTTTCCGACACTCGTGTAAGACGTGCGGTTTATACACTATATAATATTATTATCTGGATCATCTGTTAGGATAAAAAAACATCTGAAGTATAGCAGGCGCTGTGTTCTTCTCCTAACTTGTGATTCGGCTCCTGTATCCGCCATATTAGTGATGATTTGAGTTCAAAAGAGGTTGAAATGCGAAGATGGTTTCTTCTGGTATGTTGCGCCGTGTAATCTGGCAGAATATAACAGACGTTTCAGAGATTCTAACTGCCTACACCATCAGTAAGATCGCCAGACATAGTTTACGTTATATGTTTTTGTAAATCTCACTGATGATGGAGGCAGTAAGTACCTCTGAAACGCCCTTAAATTTCTACAAGACTACACAGCTCAACATTCAGAAGACAATCGTCTTTGCCATGAGACCCTGAAATCTCGCTTAGGACACAACATTTTCGATTTTGCTTATTAAATATCATGAACAGATACGAAATTATTCAAGCAGGGGCATATATTTCATCGAAGGGACAAACCCCTGAAATGCGGACCTGCTCTAGGCTGGCGCCACCTTGGCGCCGAGTTTTGGAGCCACATTCGTCTTTTTGGCCCCCCCAACCCCATCCAACCGGACGGCGCCAGTTCGGAAAATTTGATGCAACAGCGGCTTATGGCGACCTCTCAGTATCATATCTGATAAAAGATAAGAACATTGTATATGCTCAATTAATCATTTTGTGTCACGTCGCCTTTTAATGTTGCAAAATGGGGAAGAGGGATTTCAGAGTTTCGCCCTTTGAAGCCCGAAGCCAATCCAAATGATATATAAGAATTCAGTCCGTACCGCGAAGAAAACACAACACTTCACCATTACGAAGATCAACTGGTTAACGCTGTTTAAGGAAATAATGGATGTTCACACTTAGAATCGTTTGAAAACTCTTAGATACACTCTGTAACGCTGTTTATGGAAATAATCGCTGTTCACACTTAGAATCGTTTGAAAACCCTTAGATACACTCTGAGAGCAAAGTTTATAGTTACTCAGATTACCGCTGTTTTATAAAAGGATTAATACATATATTATCTTACGTCTTTTCTGGAATGTACACTTGTGCAATTCTGTCTAGAAATTCACTCAACTGCGATGTTGGAATCGTTAACTTTTGTCTTGTAAAAATCATGACTTCAGTACAACTTTAATGACATGACCGCATTTCGTGAAAATAAATAATTTAAAACTTAAGTGCAGAGAAGCGTTCTGGACATTACAGCCTTCATTTTGTATCCAAATGCTTAATTTTAGTAATGTAAGTAGGTTAGTAGAGATAATTTGCCTTATTTAATGTTCGTGTCGTGTTAGGTTAAATAGTTGTTCTATTATTGGGTGGCTAAACGCACCCCATTGATGATTACATCACACATCCCAGTAATGAAATGTTCTCGCCACTAGATTCAGTCATTACTCAAATATGCCCCCCTCCCAGCGAGTCTGAACTCAGGCAGAATTAAGCTAAATGATACCAAAGGACTCTGTACAAGTATTAGTGAAAGTTTCAAATGCATTTCATGAATTTCAAGGACTTTTCCTAGATTGAAATGTATTTCTCGTAAAAAGTAAATTTTCTTTTGAAATTACAGACACTGTGCAATACGTGAACTGACATGTATAGATTTTAATAAATGCTAAAATGGACGATCTGGTCACGTATTAAAGGTTATACGCAAAGAACATTGATCTATTATGCCCACAGAATATAAACAAATGAAAACTAAGATATGACGCAGAAAATAATTTCGGAAATGAAGGAAAATATGGAAAATATTAGAATAATATTTCATTATATTTTGCACCGTGAAGCAATCGATGAAAGGAAATTGGATACAATTTATTACATTACGTAGGAGTACAATTAGATTAAACGCGGAAGGATACATAAATTTTGTATTCAACTATCGTAGGAACTATTTCGCAGACGAACTCAGGCCTTGCTGGCATGAAGACGTACACATCATATTAAATACATTTTTTTTACAAATTAATGGTGATAAATATAATATTTAGCTATCTTTATATATTAACAAACCCAATTAAGAATAAAAATAACATTGCCTAAACAGCATCCAAACATATCACAAATACAAACACACTTTAGACTAACCTAAAACTAGAGATGCTTCATCGGTTTATAAACAAAAGCAGGTACATAGAATATAACTTACTTGGTGGTAT